AATGTAAATTGTAAACCATCTAAAATGTAGAAAAATATCTTGTTTCTAACAATTGACAGAATCAATATTGGTAAAATCTTCATAAAACCCAAAGTGATTTAAAGATCTAGTTAAATATTTAACAAAATACCTATGACATTCTTCACAGACTTGAAAAAGACATCATTTTAAGATGAATTTTTATATTTTATTTTTACTTATATGTATGCGTACATCTCTTTATATGTGATGTGTGCCCCATGTGGTCAGGGGGAAGCCAGAAGAGAGTGTTGGGTTTTCCGGAGCTGGAGTTGTAAGCCACGTGACATATAGGTGATGGACACTAAACTGAAGTTCTAAGGGCAGTACACACTCAATCACTAAACCATCTATTCAGCCCTATAAAACGTTTTTAAAATGCTTTGAGCCACAATTTATAATGTATAATCAAAGCTATTTTGAACAAAAAACCAAAAAGCAAAACCAGAAAAACAAAGTTAGAGTCATTCCAATAGCTGACTTCAAAATATACTAATAAACATGTAGCAATGAAAGAAACATGGTATAACAACAACAACAAAACAAATAGATTAGTGAAGTAGAATAGAAAATGATATATTTGTTTCTGTTACAAAATACCCTATAAAAATCAACTTAAAGAAGAAAGGGTTTATTTTTGACTTATGGTTCTAGAGCATATGGTCCGTCATTGTAGGGAAGTTATAGCAGTAGCAGTAAGAGGTGACTGGCCACATGTGTACCTAGTAAGAAAACAGTGTGTGTCACCTTGTTCTGGGTATGCATTCCCACAGCAATTAGCCTAATCTTGAAATCACTCACAGTCATGTTCAGAGATTTTTTCCCCATTGTGAGTGTAAATCCTGTCAAATTGACAGTCAAGATTAAACATAACAAGCAAAAATATACAAATGACTAATAGGAAATGTATCACAGCAGTAACCATAGGTTAATGCAGCTCAAAAGCACAATGACTCATCAAGTCACCCCTGTTAAGAATTGTTAAGACTAAATATAAATAGTGCATCTGGTGAAGATGTGGAGATAAACTAACATTTCCACATCATTACTGAGAATGTAAGTTAGCACAGACACTATGGAAAACAAAATAAAAGTTACTTTAAAAATTAAAACAGGAACTAGCATACAGCCCAGCAATCCTACTGGATATGTAAATATCTAAATGTATAAAATATGTATGTTGAATATACATCTGCATTCCTGAGTCCTTCGAAGCAATATTCACAGTAACCAAGAAACGGAAACAACCTAAATCTAAATAGCCATCAACTAATTTGTGGATTAAAAAATAATTATATCTATCTATCTATCTATATATATGGAATGTTATTTAGCATGAAATTTTATGAAGTCTTGTCATTTGCAGTAACGTGGGTGGGATTGGTGGAAATCATTATGCATATTGTAAGTCTGGTACAGAATCATAAGTATCACATGATCTCAATTACATGGAATCTTAAATTGTTAATATCATAAAACTTCACTATGGAATGGTAGTTTCTAGAAGCTAGGGACATTAGCAATAGAAGCCTACCTGTAAGAGGTGATTCATTATAGTAAGTTACAATTAGATAGAAATAAAGTATTTTGGGGTTCTCTTGCACATTATGGTGACTACACAGAAGGAAAATGCATTGTATATTTCAAAAGGCCAAATGAAATATTTTGGAATTTTTCATTGTAAAAATGACAAATATTTGGGAAAATATTTAACTTGATGCAGATACTATAAATTTATACCTGTATCAAATACTATGTAGCACTTCATTAATATGTACATTCATGTTTTTTTCTATGCTAGTTAAAACAGGGAAAATAAGCCATGTCCTTGAATGTAACCAATCATCTCATTGGTTAGATAGTTATATCTTTAATGTTAATACAGAATTTAGCATGGCTTCACCATTTTACTGAAAGCGAAAAGATAAAATCACTTTTCCTCCATTTTTCAGAACTCTTAGCTCATGTTCTTCTAAGCTGTAATCAAAACATTCTCCTTGAGGGTTATCAAGGTTCTGATGATAGTGTCTTTTAAGGCTTTTTAGGCTGAAGGGTTCTAAAATGTCCCATTGTGCTATAAACATGATTCTGAGCTAAAAGCATTTGAGAATTAATGAATGCAAGAAGAGGCTTTATCTAAACTCCCTTTGTACACCTAAAATCCTGTCTTCAAAGAAAATAAAAAAATAATAAAGGAATTAAATTTTCAAATGCCTAAGTATCCTAGGAAATATTGACTCTTATCACAAGAGATGAAAGGATTGCCTTGACACTAAATTCAAAGATACATTGTCACAGACGCTCATATCTCTCAATTGTTCCCCTAAAGGTCTACTTATTTTTCTCAAAATTTGTTTGCTTTCCTGTGTCAGCCCTTTATCACCTTTTTTTTTCCCATTAAAGAGGTACATAAATTCTCAAATCCTTCCCCGTTTCTCTGTATTTACTTTTTTAAAACAACCTCATCAATATCAAATAAATAATTGAAAATTTTGAATAGCTTGTCCCCCTATCGATCTGTCTGTTGTTTGTTTTATTCAGAGTTCCTTATTTACTGGATCTAATCAGGTAGAGAAAAATGCATTTCTCCAATTCGAGGCATTCACTGTCATTCATCTCAAGGTCTACCTTGCCTGTACTTACAAAGCTGAATACCCATTGTAGTATTTGACTACTTCCTGCTCAGTGGTGGTAGTTTTCAGGGAGCAGTTTGTTTTTGTTGTTGCTGTTGTTGTTGCTGTTTCTGCTTCTGCTATCATGCCATGCCTTCCCTGCCAAGATGGAGTCTGTACGCTTTTGGTCAGTGTTTTAATCATGGCAAAAGCAAAGTAGGTAATACACATCTCAACATCTCAAGCTTGTGTTATGGCTACATATTAAGCATGAAATGTGTACTTCTTATGTATATATAATCCTATCAGTATAGGATAGGATTATACAGGATAGATATGATATAGGATCCTAATGTATTTATCTGAAACTAGAGGCATTACTGTATATATGAATGCAGGAAGAGACACTATGCATTTTCCTATTCTCACACATTTATAATAGTTAATACATAAATTAAACAGAATAAGAAATTACCAACAATAACTAATAGAACAATTATGTTATAATATTATTTAAATACGTCATTCCTTTCACTCATATATCATACATTAACATTTTCATTTTACTTCCATTGGGTGAAATATATCCATTGTCAGGATTACTAGTCTTGTGTTTGAGAATATTATTAAGTAAAATAATGCTCATTTGGTATGACAACAATCTACACAATAAACACAATTACCATCCAAATCTTAATGACAAAGGGTATACACAGTATGGAAACTTTGGAGAAAATGGTGACTCATATTTTGGTCCTGAGAGCCTCTTGACCTGTTTTAAGAAAGATAAAAGAGAGATTGACCTTCCTGCTCATACATAGTATCTTTTCAAATGCCAAGGTGCCATATCTTGAACTCTATTAGCAAATTTATGTAGATCTCTT